TGTGACGAGACTGGACAGTTCATCATTCTTGATGCCGGCCAATGATGTCCTGAGATATATCCGGATATCGTTCTGGACTACATCCTTCTCGATGTCATGGAGATAGAAGTACCCTCGAATGCTATCACTAGTAGACCTGAAGGCAGTGCGAATCCGATTCTCATCTCGGCTGGCTAGGAATATCTTGAGCGGAATNTTCGACGCCCATTCAAGAACAAGTTTAATGAACAGCGCGACGACTTCAAGGTTGGCGCATTCATCAGCGGCATCAATAACAACAACTTTATCCACCACGACCGGGCCGATGGTCGTTCGAACAGGATTATAAACCAGCCGCTTGAACTGCTCCTTCATGTTAGAATATGTTGGTTCTGCCAGAGTAGGGTCGTCCTCAATGGCCTTAACAACCTCAAATTTGATAGCAGGTGAAGCTCTCGCCAGCGAGTGTGCAATAACAGGAATAATAAGGCGTGCGTTCCTAGTTTTCTCCGATGCTCGAGAAGCAAAGAAACTGCCACCAAGAATGTTTTTCGCCTCGAGATGCTCACAGAATGTGTGCGCGATGGTCGATTTTCCGATTCCCGCCATACCTACCATCCAATATACCCTGCTGCTATTGATGTCCGAGGCCCAAGTGTCCAACTGTTCGAGGACGTTTACGCGGGTCCCTTGCATGCAGCCGGTGGGGTCGCCGTAAGACGACTGTCGAGTTTTATATGACGTCATTTCGTGATTGAGCTTTTCGATGGAATCTGTGGGTATATGAGCGCCACGAAGCTTAGAGCTATGTTCCGTTGGGAAAGTTTATCTCACCTTGACCCCGATGTTCATGAACCTCCATCTTGACAAAAATTTCAGTCAATATTTCAAACGATCAATGCTGTTCGGATCAAAGGACACACATTTTTAGCGATATAGAATATTGAATCCCTTATTTCAAAGTTGTGCGCTCCCTGCAAGACATTCTGGGATTCCCGGAGACAAAGGAAATGAGCGAATGAATTTGTTTACACATTATAAACGCACCATAGAGGAACCCTCTCCCGTAACTTCAGGCGCCCTTGTAAACAAGATCTCGTCAGGATGCCATCTGCGGGCGTGGGGGTCATGAACTCCCACCTCAAACCGCCAGGGCGTTCATCATGTGGGTGATTTGCGTCCATGAGGCGATCAGGTAATTTCTTGGACTCTCCTTTCAAATGATTTTTGCGGGGGCGATCAAGATCAGACATCGTGGTTCAGAAGAGAGCGTCGATGCTGTGCGGCGCACGCCGGTCCAGGGGTCAGCTGACATTTAACGCGCAGTGGGCGCCAAGTCGAAGCACCTGGAAGCGCCAGAAAAAATGGTGGTCAACAGAGAAGTGCGAGAAAGGGAAAACAATGACTTTCAGCGGACTCAAGGCGACGAAGAGACAACATTTCATGTCAAATATTCACAAGGGCAGTGGATTCGCTATGGAGACAAGCTAAAACGAACATTAAATCGCAAAGGCGAGCACACCTAGCTGGGTCTTTCCCAAGTAGGACCTACCCACCCTATCACGCTACACGTCATTCTGGCTCTATCTCCTGTCATCCATCGTCCCTCACATTCCTTCTCGCCCCTCTCGCTACCATCCTCCTCACGAATCCGTAGGAGTGCGCGTTGTGTTTCATACGTTGTAACAGATGATAAATGATGGGGGTCACCAGGATGACCTTGGTTTCCTTCAGCACAGGCCCATTCCGTCGGTGATCGTAAGTTGTGATGTTTTTTGGCTGGGCTTGGAAGCACTGCGCTGGATAGCTGTCGTTAAGGAGAGCCGTTGGTGGAGTGCTGGAATCTAAGTGGGGAGGACCCAAGGAAAACATCGGCACGAATCACGGAACACCAGACGGCCAGAGGGGTTGGCACGGGCAAGCACATCATCCTTCGCACTGACATTCGAAGCAGGCGTTTGTTCATCACCTACAGGACGGTGTGCTCATTTGTGTAAACTCGACGCCTCAGAGTTGCCACGTCATTGATCCTGCAAAACGATAATGTGATAAGCTCGTCGTCGAAAGCCAGAAATGTTCAAGTTGGAGCCGTACCCAAAGAAAGAGGACTTACAAGAAGATTCCCAGTGGTCTCAATACTGGAGGTGGCCCAAGGTGATTTGAAGCGCCGTACTGAGTCGAGTACGTCGGGCGTTGAAAGTGTCTTGGTCGATCTTTGGCTTGACCAAATGGAAATGGCCTAAAACGGCAGAGATATTAGCAGGAATTGACCCCCGGAAGAATTGACGTCCATACCTGCGATAGAACACTGGCCTTGACCCTGTTCCTGCACAACTACCCTCTTCTCTGTGCGCACCTCATCAAAATCT